GTGTTCTTTTTTCCTGCAGACTTCCTTCCCTCTCTCAGCACACAACTCGCTGCATCTGTACCCACTATGTCCCAGCTTCTGGTTCATGTGTTCAACCAATACAGACGCTCCCATTCAACTGTAAGGCCAATTTTCACATTGTCTGTAAATAGCTTGGTTTAAACTTGGCTACTTTTTTAACTGTAATTTCACAACAGAAAAATGGCACATGCATGAAAAGTTGGATTTAAGTGTTTATAAAAGAATCAGAGAAGGGGAGCTGAAAAAAGGCTTGTGAACAGCATCCCACAAGCTTTAATGGTTTCAGGCTGCCATTTCAAAGACTTTAGCTGCATCCAAGAGAGGATACAATGACAGCGTCAGGTTTAACTGTGCCACAAGGTTTTTTTTTTTTAAACTTGGACAATTTTTTCTTGTCTCTCCTATTTTATTTTCTTTACTTTTGTTTATTTGTCTCCAAGTTATAAATCACTAACACATATTGTCCCTCAGTAGCTACAAATAGTATCAAACTTGGCTTGTTGCTAGTCAGTAAATGCCATTCAGAGCAGGAGGAGTCTTCCAAATGTTTCCAGAATGCCTCACAGCTCAAAGATGTGAGTCTCAGAGATGTGCAGTCCTAATAATGGAGTTTGTAACATGTTCAAACAATTTGTGGAACAAGTTTTGTCTCTAAATAGTCAAAGAAGCTGTGGGTGTCTCCAACTTGACTCAGGAGCGTTATGTGTCCTCTGACATATAACATCCTAGTCCAAGTCTAAAAACAATGTCGATGATTAATTATAAATATTGTAAAACTGATGTACAGTAGCCCCTCACTACTTCGTGGTTCGTTTGTTGCGGACTCGCTCCATTGCGGTTTTTCAAAATACAATCGGACATGACACACAGTTGGCTGATTGATGGATGAGCCGCACGATCGACATGGTTTTTTATTTAAAATAAATTATTTTAAATTATATTGCACCTGCTGCACCTTTGTGCATCCCATACTGCAGGATAAGCTTCCTCCTGCAGCTGATCAGCTGTTCTCAGTGCAGAGTGGTGAAGTGGGCGTGGCCAAGAACGCATGCAGGTGACACAAAGCAGATGAGGAAGGGAGCTGAAATCATGACATTCTGTGCTCTTTTAGAGCATTTAGAGTTTAGAAACATTGTTTAGAACATTGCAAGAGTGTGGGAAGGGGTTTAAACACCTTTATATGGTTCAATAAACTACTACTTACTACTTGTACTACTATTCCTACTTTGCGTTTTTTCACTTATCGCGGGGCTTCAGGGTACGAATCCTCCACGATAAACGAGGGACTACTGTAAATCTTATTTTCTTCGTTTTAAAAGTGTAAATGTAGACGCAGCTCTTGTTGGGGAAATGAGCAAGCTGAGGTTGTCAACAAAATAATGTGCATGGCCAAGAATGAGGTTGTGCAAGCCGTGCACATGACAATAGGGCTTGACTTTCAAAAACTGTCCGCTCAAATCACGGCCGCGCGGCTCACTGGTTACTTAGTCAAAACCTCTCAGACCTCTGAGTCTGCATCTGAAAATTCACATATTTTCTTTAAACTTATAGATTTTTTTTCTACCAACTAGTCTCTCAACCGTTGCAGCTCAATGAGACACCACCTTCAGGGAGATTAAAACAAAGGTTGGAAGAGGAACACTTTTGAACACTAATCTCATTCCCGAGTGTGAAACAAAGAGAATGAGAGACAAAGGCGTTATCGGAGGCTGCAGTTGCATTTACCAGCCTGTCCTTGGGAAGTGGACTGGTGAGGTTTTTTTTTTTTTACGAAGGCCAAGGTTGTACGGTTAAGCCCGAATCACAAGTTTACAGCTGTTAAACACACATACACACACGGAGACACACACAAATCATTGAAATGAGATCAGGAGGAATCAATTGTTTCAGAGGCAGAACCAAATTAAGCAGCACTGAGCTGCTTTCATATGTATACGGCACCTCCAAGCTCTTGTGAAACAGTAGCTTGGCATCAAAACAGAGAAATCAATAGCAGTTTTCAACCTGCTAATCTGAAACATTTACTCCAGGAAATGCAAGAGCCTGTGTCCTTGGTCGAGATCTATCTCAATTGCAGCCAGAAGTTAGTAGGAAAATCTTTAATATCCCCTCTTCTTTTTGTTATTTTAATACCTATACCTCGGCTTGGTATCCATTAAGATTCAGATAAATGATCCACGTGATTGGGCCTGAGATGCCTGGCTGATATTGATCATTATCTCACACACTACCATGCCCCCACAGCCCCCATCACCTCCTGTTGCTTTAATCAGAGTTAAACAAGATAATTGTCTGTGTTATCAGTTGATAATTTACCCCTGCACTCAACATTTATGAGCTGATAAATGACTCATGGGGGTCTGAGCATCAGAAGTCAGCCCCCACTCTGTTTTAATCTGATTTTAGAGTTTTGTTTTTTTTGTTTGTTTCAGCTGCTCTCTTCAGCAGAGGTGACCACAGTGAGCAAAAATGCATGGATGATTTGGCAGTTGCTTTATGCCATTTACTTTTCCAGACACAACCTGGACCCAAACCCAAGCCTTGGGATTACAAGGCCATGACACTGACCAGTGAGCTGTCGCAGATTTAGGCAGGCAGGGAAATCCCATTGAGACCACAGAGCTCTTGTGTAAGGGAGGCCTGGGTCTGAAGGCAGCCTAACATGCAAGTTTTGGACTGTGGGAGGAAACCGGAGTACCCAGAGAAAACCCACGCAATCACGAGAACTCGCAAACTCCACACCAGCACTTTTTGCTGTGAGGCAGCAGTGCTAACCACTAATCTACCGTGTTACCCAAATGATCTTCTAAAATGGTCACATCATTGATAAAATCATAGGAGTTGCCATTATACTGTAGTTTCCATGACGGTTCCAACATCTGTTGTAGCAAAACCAAAGTTAGAGGGCAGAGGTAAAAGGTGGAGGTCAGTTTTTGCTTTTGATTATAACCAGAATTTTTTTTTTCCTTTCTTTTGATCTGTAGATACATTAGAGGTGTGAAAATTAGTTAATTCATGTTGATTCACAAACATGTTCATATAGCAAATGCCCTGGCTGAGTTATGAATAATTCAGTTTTGACATCAAATAATAATAATAATAATAATTTTATAGGTGCGTTGTTCTTCTTGTACGTTTTTGCACCAAGAAAAATAGTTTCATTTAATTACCAGATGAAGAGTCTGCAAGCAGGTTTGTTTCTATATGTATACAAAATAAAAGGTACAGCAGATACGTAGAAAATGTGTAGAAACATAAGTGACTCCTGTAAAAGTTTTTTTTTTTTTTTTTTTTTTTTTTTTTTCTGGGAGTTGGTGTCATTTTCTTCACAGCACTGGTGTAAACAGCAGCAAGCTATTCACATCTGTATTTAGTGCTATACTGTACAATCTGGTCCCTCAAAACAGATGTTAATGACAGGTGTGAATGGGGTCAATCAGTCTAAAAACCCGTGTGACTCTACTGGTGACTAGTTGCAGCACAGGGTGGTTTGCTTTATTCTGATTGTGTGGAATAACCTGATTGTATGAACCACAGGTTCCTGATTAAAAAAAATAATAATAATAAAAACTAAGAAAGGGCATTAGAGTTGAAAGCAAAATGAACTGAAAAGGTCGGTCCTATGTGAAATATTTGGTCTAATTATCCTCATAGAATTGTGTTGGACCATTTATTTTCTATTGTATAAAAACACTGAGCTGTATCAGCCCATTTTGAATCATACTCATCGTCGCTGAGGGGTGAATTGTATCTTGTTATATTGTTTTTTTTGTGGCTTAATGTCTAAAACCACCGGTAGTGTCAAGATACCTATAACATCGGCCACATGCCAGAGATTCTTAACGCTAGCAAACACATAACAGTAATCTATCAGTCGGACATAAAACTTCCCAAATAAAATTCACCATTCCACCAGATCCTTGTCATCTACTTACACCTGATCTTCAATGTGCATTATCCCCACCTGGAGACAGTCTTCGATACCCACAGTCCTAATAATCATGCGCTTACACCCTGTCTCAGCGTACACAATGCCACGTAGTATTTTCCCGGACACACAAAGCTATAAAAAAATGATAAAGTCAGGAGGGGGCTGTGATCAAAGCATTGTTCACACCATTTCTTTCAGCTTCCCGCTCTCTCCTGATCAAGTCGTGTTATATCAGCCCAGCCTACACCCATCTGCCACTACTGAGAATCATAGGCGCAAAATCCAGCCTTCGTTTTAATGAAGTCATGCTAGAGTTTGTGCATGAGTGGGAGAGACTGAAGCAGACACCTCTCTCTGATGTTCACATTTCATATCTGCCTCTGCCCAGGAGCTTGCCTTTTTTGAATTATTAAGCAGTTTGGTCTTTTTTTTTCTTTTTGCCCATTTCCCTCTTTCTTTTCCATTTGCTACATTTTCTCTTTCTCTCTCATGCAAACTCTCGTATTCCCTCATGCTCTTCCGTTTCTCGCTCTGCTATGTCAGTTCAACTAGCTTTGGCTGAAGCAGTGGCTCTCACTGAGATGCAAATGCCTTCCTTTGAAGGGGCACAGTAGGAGCGTCAATTAATCCAGCCATTTACTCGCCTAAAAAAAATTGCTCTGCAACTATTGTTAGTGGACTGTTTCATCTTTATTGTGCTATTGGCCATTTTCATCCGCTGTCCTCGTGCCGTCGGATTTGGTGGGCCCTTCAAAGATTTAGTAGACATTTTGACAGTACAAAAGTGAGGAAATGGCATGGGAAACTGAAAAATCAAAGGTGCCGTAGGAGTGTGTTTGTGCTGCATTTTCCATAAATTATCTGTTATTTCCTAAACTCTTAATATTACCCAATAACTCCATGTAGCTTTGTACTAACCTACCTCCGTACTACCTATACCCTCTCCAGCCTGAGACCTTTCTCCAACCTCTGTTTTACACCTGTACCTGCCCTGTCTCACGTCATCCCTCTAACTCCGCTCTGTATTTCTTGACTGGTCGGCCTTCAGATCTCAACACACCGAGCCCGTGCTTCAATAAGACGTGCGATCATGGGGCGACGTGTGTGGTCAAGAACAACGAGCCAGTGTGCGAGTGCCTCCAAGTCTGTTCTCAGACGTCCGACCCCGTGTGCGGATCCGATGGCCACAGCTACGGCAGCCCATGTGAAATGCGAGTGATGGGTTGTGCCTTGCAGAAGACCATTCACATCCAACACAAGGGACCATGCGGTGAGTCATTTCACTGACAAAACACCACAAAACCACAAGAAAACATGCAAACTGACACCTCGTTCATGGAAGTAAGCATCTAGCCTGTGTAGACCACAGCGGGGCATTTGATATTCCACATTTGTATAAAAGTGCTGCCATTCCAAACCCAATCCATCCTTCAGTTTAGACGTACAACATGTTAGCTGTCCTTTTTTTTTTTTTTTTTTTTTAAGTCTACCTTTTGTAGCTTTAAATTGTTTGTTGCATTGCATGTATTGTGTAGGTGGCATTTACTCGCAACAATCTAGCCCACAGATGAATGTAATTTATTTCTCAGTTGGTATATTATTGTCATGGCAACCAAAGACTTCTAAATGACAGGCATGAAGAGGATGACATTTTCTGTTGCACTTACATACATCTATCCATCCATCCATTGCTTTTACCCGATTCTTCCTTTTTGGGTCGCGGGGGTTGCTGGTGCCCATATCCAGCAGTCACTGTGCGAGAGGCGTGGGACACCATGGACAGGTTACAAGTCCATCACAAGGACACATAGAGATAAACAAGACAAACATTCACTCTCTCACTCACGCTTATGGACAATTTAGAGTTACCAGTCAGCCTAACATGCATGTTTTTGGTCTGTGGGAGGAAACCCGTGTACCCGGAGAAAACCGACGCATGCACGGAGAGAACATGCAAACTCCACACAGAAAGGCCCCCGACTGGGATTTGGTCCGACGGCCTTCTCGGCAAGAGACAGAAGCTTTACCAACTGTGCCACCATGCCCCCCTAAGTGTACATCTAGTTAGGTGAAAATATGTTGTGTGCACACTCAGAAAAGATGTATGATTCATTTAAATGAGAAAAATGTTAGCAAAACATACATTTATGGTTTATTCTTTATTTGTTTTAGTAACTTTTTTTGTTGGTTTAATGTAAATTTAGCATTAATTAACAAAAAAAATAAAATACTTGTTGAATGAAGACAAATTACCATTTTTTTCATGCAATGATTTCATTTAGGAATAGGAAACTCTAGAAACCGTTAAAATATTTCCATACGGTTGACTCGGTTTTGTTATGTTTTTCTTTTGGCTACTTTTAGCTCTGTATTCAACTGAAATTTTAAAACTAATCTTAATTTAACTGGTTGAACAAGTTTTAAACAACTTGATAAAAGAACAGTTATGTCTGTTTTCATTCATGTTACGAGACTGGCATGAGTAACAGTACTTGTCCTTAAATCATTTGTTCTTCTTTCATTCAAAGGTTTAGGTAGAGGGAATTCAAATAACTCTGGTTGAATCTGTTAAAAGAAATAGGATGAAATCTAGTTTCAGCAGTCCAAAATAAGATAACTCAAACCTATTGCTAATATTGAGTCAACCCCAAAATATTTTCTTGATCAAATCCACATATTTTATGAAACGGCCTTTAAAAAAAAAAAAAAAAATTTGTGTGTTTAATATAAAAAATATACACTTTATCAATCAAGATGTTTTTATTACACCCAAAGGTCATATTTAATTCTGTGAAAATATTATGAAATTATATAAATGATAGCCTGCAGGTAAGAAAAGATTCTTCTTGTGGAAAATAATTTAATTTAAAATACTAGTGCCATATTTCTTAGGGGCTAAAATTATAAACCAGAGATGCTGACTACAAACACATAAAAAGTTCTACTCATGGGTGGCCCCCTGGGGCTCACAGTCACATCAGTTCTTTGCACTCCGAGGGGTTTCCTGATAGCTGCTCTGCTAGCATTCATCTGTTCCACACAGTTCCACTACTTCCCGTCCATACCATCACCAAGATTCCAGTTTGCCTTTTTTGACCTTTTAGTGAGGATGCACTTTACTGCCAATGAAGTGTGAAGCATGCTTGTCTGTAATTGGCTACATGAGTCACTTGGCTTTGTCTTGCAGTGTCGGTGTATCAGCTAGTCATTAGTGCACCAGCAACAGCAGAGCTTCAAGTGTTAAAAATATCTTCTTATCCACTATGCAGGCGTACCGCCATATGGATAGCTTTTTACAGCTTGCCAACTCCACTTAGTAATACTCTTGATGACTTAATGCCATATTGCAAGGCCTATTTTCCCATGGACTCAGATGATGTTGTATTTTTCTATGTGTACAATCAAGCCATTTCCTTTTTGCACACACAGTACAGCGGCACAGCAGTTATTATCCCTCTGGCCCAACTCTCTCATCTACCTCACTGGCTCATTTTCACAACAATGCCTTTTTTTTTCTTGCATACTTTGAAGCCATTAACAATTAAAACTCAGTTTTTCTCTGCAATGCTGCACAGTAATCGGAGCAGAATGATCAATAGAACTGAATTAGTGTCACTTTTCTGGCGTGCGCCACAGTTTTGTCCTGAATTGTGGAAAAATATTGTAGCTTGGAGAATGATTGTGCAAACTAGTTCAAGTAGCAGTTAGAGTTTTCCATGCACCTAGTAGGGGACAACAATAGCAAGTGAAATGGTGGTCTGTGGGTTTTCTGCCTCCTTGTGTAATACATCAGTCATCGTCTCATCCCAGTCCTCTCTAAACTGAAAAAAAAAATAGTATGTAGGGATGTATGTCAATGAGAAATGCAATGAAAAGCAGTGTTTGGGTGGCGCGCAGGCAGTTCGAGTCAATGTGGTGCGCCACACTGCTGGTAGATTCGTCAGCCGGGGGTCCCACAGCGGTAATGAGTAGTTTTTATTTTGAAAAGCACGAGGCAGAGCGAGCAGGCGTAGCGGAGGTCCTTGTTTGTAATCCAGCACTATGGATGGCTCTTGGCTCCCAGAGGAACAGGCCTGCGTCAGCGCGATGGTGCCATAAAAATGCTGAGGCACTGGCTTGCCAAGCGCAAGGCAGCCCAGGAATGATGGTGATAATATTGTGGGTTATTTCTGGGCTGTTTGCACAGCTTTACTGGGCTTTATTCAACACCATAACAAGTGACTGACTTAAGCTATTATCTCACCTAATTATCGTGGGCTCTTCCAACCAATAATATACTTTACATTTTTATGGAGCAGGAAGGGAGAGAAAAAAATGAAAAATTTTACCCCGAGGTACTGCTAAAGACAAAAGTAAGTAAAATAATTGTTAATGCATAAATTTTTAGGATCTTTACCACTTGTTTTTTCATAAAACTGTTTGACTTAATTTTGTTTTCTTACCATTTTGTACTAGTAATTGTCATTATCACTTCTACACATTTTTAAACGTTTTCCTTGGTGTTGTGTTCAAAATAATCATAGAAAACTTAAAGTTCCTAGCCAACTCAGTTCAGTTTGTTTATATAGCACCTATTGCCAGCAAGTCATCGAAGATAGTCCAGCCTAGAAGTGATAAATGCACGGAGCAGTTTTTCTGTCTGCTTGATATTACCATTCTAACGCTCCGTTACGGGGAGCTGCATGTTTGTGCCTTCCAGTCAGATCTTAAGAGCGCAGTAGTGTAAAGAAGGACAAGAACAAGGAGAGAAACTGTGCATAGGTGCTTAGATGTGTGTGGCTTCCTCTAGCCTCTCATGAGCCCAACCATAATTTCATTTCCTTCCCTGCGGGCTGAAGAAATACCAGTTATCTATATGGCTCAGGTGCAACCGGATAGCAATATGAGTGACATTTTGTTATTATTCTAGGATTTTTTATTTTTTTTTTGTCCTTCTGCGATGAGTGGGGTATGTCCTTATAAGGTAGACGGGGTGAAGTTTACTCAGTTAATAGACACCTCATTGGCCAGTCCCCTTCTAGAAAAAGTCAATTTTTATGGCGTTATTTCAAAATAGATGAATTCCAAAGCACCTGATTCGTTTGACAAAAGGAAAAACAACTTCCCTGTTTTGTCCCACAGGTGTTGGAAATGATTTTCTCTGCTGAGTAAAATAACATATACCGATAGGTCACAGCAGCGTGAGGGGTGGAGAGCAGAGGAACGAGGGAGGGGAAATGGATAAATGTTGGGAGGGAAAGAGATGAAGGTGAATAAGATGAGGAGGAGCGAAGTAAGCAGGGAGGGCAGAGTTAATGGTGTACGGCCAGGCAGGCATCAACAGGGGAGTTGTTATCACCCAGCCATGCTCACCAGCCTTCAAAACACAAACAACCCTACTTCTTCCTGTTTAATCCTGAGGTAATGCTTTACCCAAACCCCCTCAGCTCTAATTCAGCTTTTCCCCAGCAAGGATATCAACAAAACACTGTAAAGCTGCGGGTCCTTTTTTTTCCTTCTCCGCTGTGAATCAATCCCCGATGCTTTCAAGGGCACTTTTTATACCAACCTGCCCCTATTTCTCACACACCCTTCCAAAACCCCGACCGTGGCCACCAAGCTCAGCAGCAGAAGCTGCATCACAATAAACACTTTCCATGGATGCTAACCTGGATTTCAGGACTAAAATGTGTTTATAATTAAAAAAAAATTATGAATATTAAAGGAGGAGAAACGTTAAAAGTCACAATTATCATTTTGAGCTATATTTAGTCAATTATGTAATAACTATTAGCTCTCATTGTTTTATCTTGCCTACTAATTTGTTTTTTTTTTATTGAGTTTCCCCCTTGTTTGAAATTACATCTTTAATTTAGTGCAGAAATATTTATTTTTTCTTCCTCGGCATAAATTTAATGCACCATGTTGCCAGATGCATCCTAGATTTGTGCTAAATGGTGTGCAAATATCATCCCAGTTTCACTGCTTTGGATGCGAGAGCTGGCTCCGTATTTCCCACAGAGATGGCTCCTCTCAGTGTATCTGATGCCCAGCTTGTGTTTCTACACCTATAGCATCCAAATCTTGTGACCTTTAACCGTCCAGAGGTTGATGCTGCCTACATGCCTCTGCTGGTGTGAATCTGCAGGGCTTTTTATTCCCTGTTGTGCTGCAATTTATCTGTAACTTGCAGGCTATTTTTGAATATGCGAGTTATTTTCATCACTGCATGCTAAATATAAAAAAACACACTATTGTGTATTGTTGATACACTGACTTCTAGTTTGACTT